ACAACAAAATGAATCCACACTAAGATACACGCACACAAAATTCAAACAACCACACATGGACTTGTACCCTCCCCCAACAAAAGCTTTGGTGCGAATCCATCGAAAAACCAACAAAACAACAAAAACATCAAAAGCGGTTCAAAGTTGGAAAGCGAAGAAGAAAAATAGTAATAAGAATAGTATAATATTAATATTAGTAATGCTAATAAAAACAACAACAGCAACACCAGCTGCAAGGGGTAAAAAGAAACACAGCATGTCTCTCCGTCTCCTCCTCGGTCTCCCCATCTTGCCCAAGCTCGGTCTCAGGCAAGATGTCCACCTGCGGTCTGCCCTCTTGAGGGAGTGTGGCCTGTGGACTTCGAAGACCTGGTGGGGGGAGACATTTGTTGCGGATGTTCTTGTGATGTCTTTCTTGTTCTTGTGATGTTTCTTGGGGCCATAGGAAATCACTAAGATATTTGTTTACCCGTGGCAACTTAATGATAGTATGTCCATAAGTGGTTCAAAAGCGCACTGTGCATCTTTAAGGGAAAACAACATGTGTGGGTTGCTGCTGCGATTCCCGGTTTTGTTTACTCTTCCTAACAAAAAAACAAACAAGTGCGATTATGTTAACAGCACCCAGCACCCCAATCAAATAAGTGGGATGGGTATGGATGGGTTGCCGTTTTCCTCTCCAGCAATTCACTGCCTTCAAAGCAGGTTGTCGCAGTACAAATCGGACTTTTGACGTCTTGACTTTTGCTTCCACACCTCTTGACAGGCCATGTTTCACCCATCCAAAAAGCCCGTCTTTTGCAAACATCCTCCGCATATGTCAGCCATGCGCGACGCACGCATATATCGCGCGACGCGCGCGTTGCACCGGAGCGTGCCGAACAGCCGGCCTCCAGCAGCGCCAGCACACCAGAAAGGACCTGCGCCCACAGAATCGACGGAGAAAATGAGAGCAGCTGTGGTCACGGTGCTTGTGATAAACGCGCTTGGAAGAGCCATCAAATCCTCCGGCTGATCGTGCGGAACCTCAGCCATCAAGTCCCATTAGGATCCATTAGGGGTGATTTTGCAGGAATCTTCCAGTACAAAGGGCACATGTTCTGTCAAGACAAGTTTTGAGAGACTTGGCAAGTCGAGCCCACAAATTGTTCTCAAACAAATGCGGGTACAATGTAAACAAAATCCAGCAGCACCTCCTCAGCATGTCAGACGAAGCTGGGCTGAACTTCTTCCAGGTTCGGTTTGTCCTTACAATATCCTGGCACGCCCATACACATCCATACACTATGTCAGCCTCCACCAAAGATTTTCCACCTGACACCCCAAGTTACGACCGGTGCAGCAGCTTTTCTTCGGTTTAGTCGCCTCGGCACTCTTTCGCTTTGCATCGTCCTGGAGTCTTTCGTTGGGAAACAGTGGCTCCACATGGAGTACACCAGTTTCATATGGAAGTCCTTGATGGCAAGGACAACTGGAAGGGCTTTCGTCTTTACATCTCTGCATGGACTGAAGCGAAACGTAATGGCGATGTGCAAACAATGTATATATATATAAATAAATAGGCTATGAACGCCTGAACATGGAAATTGTATTATGTAGTAATGAACTATCCTCATTCTAATTAACTAGATTGTTATATAAGTCACTCATCTTTGCAGGCATCCACGGAAATCAAAATTCCCCAGTGGCTGGCTCCGAGCAGAACGCACCGGTCCTCCATTTCTTTACAAGCATCATACATTGCCCGCAGCAACTGGCGCCGGCACATGTGGGTAGGGTAACCGTCGATGGTTGTGAGACTCCAGCTGGCTAAACACGTGGGCAAACCTGCTGAGTAAGCCTTATTAGATAAACCTCTGAATTTTAGTGATCTGTCTATTTAGGGGTTGACACTGAAAACATTCTATTGTACGGATATAGTGATAATTGTTACCGACTGTTACAGGTAATAGGAAAGACCCAAACCATAGAAGTAGAACCTGGCCCCATGAAAGACTGACTGTCATGTTATTGTCGACCAACCAACAAGCGGAGTTCACGATGTCATTCGGCCATGTAAGCATCTCCATCAAACATACATGGTTGATACTTGTTCTTCTGGACCATGCATGACTTCACACAAGCATACCAATCTTCCCTTCTTCACGGATGGCTTTCATGGAGTTCTTTGTAGGATCTTTGCTTGCTCCAGCTGGTCAGCTGGTTGTTCCCCAGCTTGTGACCGATGGTCATCTAAGTATATGTGTCCTGGGATGATCCTCTTGCAAAATCATATATGACAGTTGCACCTGCGAAAAAAAAAAAAAAAAAAAGTGATGGATCCGAACCCAGGACGCTTCATCAACCAGGACTAGGGCGCCTCATCAACCAGGACTAGGGCGCCTCATCAACCAGGACTAGGGCCCTTCAACTCGCCGAACTGCTTGCTGATCAGTTCGGCTCACCGGTTCGAGGTTCCGGATCGCCTCCACCACGGGCACGCCCGGCATGGTTGCACCCAAGGGCATCGCCACCTGCGGCATCGGCATTCCGTTGAAGCACTTCCGTTTAAACAACAAACGTATCCGACATGCATATAGTATGCATATATATACTTATAAATATATATTGTACCTGCATGTATGTATATAATATATTATTGTAATATACACATGCACGGTGTATATCACCAAGTCAGGTCATGATTGCAAATTGCTTTGGCCACCCCCTTTTCATCCCTCTTCCATTGCTTCCAACGAGGAACTTATGTATGTTTCGGCCTTGCATATGCCAGCGGCAGCTGTCACCAAGATTATCCAAGTAGCAGTCTTGGGTAGAGTCTAGCAGCTAAATTTAGATTGCATGAGCCTGTTTTCCAGCCTTACACACTTAAACATGTCTTTATCCCATATCCCATGTCAGTCTGAACAAACTTGGTGCTTAGCAATGCGTGCTCTCAATTCCTCACATTCCCGCCTCCATGAAATGCGCTTGCGTGACCATCTGCCCTGCAAGCCAGAACAACAGCGCAAGCAAATTCATGCACTTCTGGCAGAAGGGGGCATGGGGTCGCAGGATGTATGCGAAGAGGATCAAAAGCCATGAATCTTTGGTCCCTTTTTTAAAGATAATTTATGGATACATATGAATAAATGTAATTTCCATTGACAGCCTTTCGACAAACGAACCGCTTCTAGCCGTGCAGTCTATGTATAATTTGGTCTATGGATGCTTGCTCCCTTAGCAGGGCAGTAGAACATCATATGCGAAAAGTGATTTTCACACTCCAACACCATAGCTCCTTCTGAAAGGAACATGATGGAACACATGGTCATCCAGCACAGTTGCAGCACCAACACATGGTCATCAAGCCTACCTTGCAAACCCACTTTCAGTTGACACAGTTAAAACCATAAATGATCTTTCCTGGTGTTTCACCTCTCCTGGACACTCCGGCCACTCCGAGCCCGTGACGAACACGTGTGAGGGTCGACCGAGCGCTGGATCGCGGAGTCGTGTTCGCCTGTGAAGTGCCCTTCGATGATGACCTGCCAACAAAGCTTCTTCGTTTGTGCGCATTCGGTGCCCTGAAAAGGGGGCGACATGTCAGGCATGTCATAGCTGTAGGCTGTAGACTCAAAGGTGACTGTTGGTCTCCTGGTTGCGGGAAACACTGAAGAGGACCATGATATGATATATTACGTTAATTAAACGTCACACTTTCTGACCCTCTTGGAACCAATCTTGGTCCGGTCTTGGCCCTGTTGAATTGCTGAGTGGTCTGAACCTGTGTGGTTGGTAGAGGCATAATATCGCTCGCAAGATTGTTTCACAAGTCCCAGGAGTCACAAGAGGCCACAGCCGCAGCCTGCTTTCATTCCAACTTGTGGCCACAAACAAGAAGCCAAAACCACGAGTCATGCATACTAAATATGGGTTTGCTGAGTTTCTGTGAGTATGGCAGACACAAACACATGCTGTGCCTTCGGGACGCGGCCCAAACCTCGTCCTTCTGTGCTTTCGTGCAGGTCTCTTTTGGCGGCATCTGGGTATCCAAACGTCAAGAGACCTTAAGCTCTCCCCGCCCTTCCAGCTACCAGCCATCCGCAGCAAAACCATGTGAAACTCCGTCAACAAAAAACATCAACGTTACAGGGAGTAGATCGAAGGGCAGGGTCTTTGCATCAAATAGATCGCTGCTTTCATCTGCTTTCAAAAGGCACTAAACAGTTGCAGCGGCTCTGAAACGCCCCGAAAATTGCCGCTCGAAAGGGCGGCTGCGAAGTGCTCCAGAGATCTACCTCAAAGTGAGGCAAGTCTAACCGCATTCCATTCTGTTGGACTTCAAGGGTTCCGAAAGGCAGAGGAGATCCATAGTCTCAGAGCTGGGTGACCGTTGTCTTGCTGGGAAAAGACAATATTTTGGATCCTCCAAAATAGCGGTCACCCAGGCTCCAGGGTAGTATAACAGCCCAGAAAGCTTGAAGCTTTAAAGGTTTGCGCAAAGAGGTCGAACTCTTAGATTTAGATGGTCTCGAGTTTCGATGTCCTTTTGGGTCGCTTGAAAACGCAAATCTCAATGGGCGAAAGATGGCAAAAGAAACATGACAAAATCTGCAGAAACCATGGAAACCGAATAGAGCCGCAACCGATCTGCAGTGCACAGACTCCCACTCCCGGAACCCCGTAGGTTTCAGGCGGTAGCCGGTAGCCTGAATCATTATAACTATAACTGGAGACATAGGACCGGAACACCAATTCTGGGGCTCCCCTCCCTCTACACCACTGACTGCCAGTGGTCTTTCGCTCAACCACTTCACCGGCTGAACATCAGGGACACCAAATGAATTGCTCGAAGCCTCATTCTCCACTTCGGACCAACCCTGTGGGACTGGTGCTCCGACCGGTCCCAAAGCACCCGGAAAGTCCGACTCCACCGTCGTCCGCGTCCAGTCGTCGCTGAGTCCCACCCGAGGCGAGCGACCCATCGATGCCAAGGTGCCGAGGCGACGTGGACGGCTTCACTTTTCCAGCCAGTGCCGGGCCTCGCCGAAGTCGCCCTCCGCGCGCCTGTGGCGGAGGGCAGAAATGTTCGGAAGGAGCGACGGGCGACTCGGGCGGAGCGAGGAAAAAGCTCAAGCAGAACGGATCACTTAAGTGTCAACGTTTGCCTGTGAGAATGCATGCATGGAAGTTTGAAGAATCATGAACACATTCAAAACATCTGGGCAATTGAAATCTTCTGATGTGGTTCCACTTTTGAGAGAAAATCTCATATCGTAAATGTAATCTTCACCATCTATCGGTACATATCTTTCCAATCATTCGACATCCAAGTTCCACTTTAATCACTAAAAAAAAAACACAAAGACAGCAACATTAAATCATAAACACGCAGCGGCCCACCCGAAAAACAAGAGCGTCCCGGTCCGCCGTTCTGTCACCCGGTTCCACGGTTGAAGGACGTTCCACGTTCCTGTCCCGGCCTCCGCACGACCTTGGCCGTGTTGCGGGCCTTCCTGGCTTCAGGGCTGGTCCAGCCACGGCCCAGCCTCAGCCGCTCCGGACCGGACGTGCCATGCCGTGCGGCAGCGACGTGCCGTGCGATCCGCAGCTCATCCCAGCTCCCTGTCCCCCAAAATGTTCCAAACACCAAGTGGTCCCTGAGAACTTGAGGGAGGCATAGACATCGCTCACTCTTACATTCACAAGGTGTCCAAGATGTGTTCTTCTTAAAGTCTTCATGACAGGTTGCTCGTTGTCAAAACATCCTTCCCAACAGAATTCATGGAACATCACCACTGCATCACTATATACTTCATCTAATTCTTTTCACCCGCTATCTCTTTCACAAAGTTCCCCTGAGGCAAATTCAGCACCTGCGAGCCCAAGCTGCCGCCCTCCGCTCGAAAACCCTACCCACCCCGCAGCAGAAGCTCCTCCTCCCCCGTCCGTGCTTGGCGGCTCATCCAGCAGGCTTCGGCCGCTGTCGAAGCCGGCGCTCTCACCACCCAGGTCCAACGACCTCGGTCGTCTCGTCGTCGCACCGTTCGGTCAGGGCGGCGCGGTCGCCACTCCGCGCAGTCAAGAGAAGTCCGCCTTTCTCTCCCCTCAAACGGTCGGTGACTCGTCGACCGAGTTTGGAAGGATGTTTGTACCCTAAGAGTCCTGGCCCTCAAACAGATAGGGTTTTGAGGGCCCAGACCCCTGCTATGGAGGGCCCGACCCCTGCCATGGAGAGCCCAAGGATTCTTAGGGTAGTCTCTTGTTTTTCTGTACCCTTTTTGGGGCTCCAGTCGTATCCTATCGTGAAACGGTTGGACTGGGACTGGGGTGGGTGCGTGCCAAGACGGTTCAGTCAGACCTTCTGAGGAGGTACTTGGAGCCCATCCGGGATAGTCTCGAGTGGATGTCCCTGGTATGTTGACGAAGTCGGTCCAAACAGCCATGTGCTGGCTGATGAACGACAAGACAAGGGGTCTTCATCCAGCGCCTGGCGCCCATCGAAGTTGCACCCAAGCAAGGTCAGCAAGGCCAATCCAGCAGATCCCACCGGAGTGGATTGGCACAGCCCCAAGTTGTGAAGCTTTCAGTCTCACTGCCAAACCCAGTCAACATATATAATATACCTTTACAGCCAACACCCGAAGAAAACCTAGGGTTCTCCAAAATACCCGGGGTTTGTCCGCATACCGGAAAAGTGAGGGTCCCGGCTGGCAGGGTATATATATGATCATATATGATTGGAATCAGCTTCTATCTTTGGCGCCGAACATCACATGGTGTCACCCGCGCGGTCCAACCGCTTGCGATGATGGAGACAGCGGGGTTCAGGGCCCGATCGGGGCCCGATCGACCTGATCCACCTGTCTTGCCGGTGGACTGGGGCGTTTTGGTTCCATTCCCAGACCGGTGTTGTTGGTGGGACTGGCCATGACTGGCCAATGTAAAAATCCATTAAAACTGATCAGTTGGGGTGGCTTGAGGGGGTCAGAGGGGCGGCAGGCCTCTTCCAGATCTGCTTCAAAACCCATGAACTGCTTCTCCATCATGGGGCAAAACTCGACAGTGACTTGGTGAACAAAAAGTTCCAGTCGAAGGTCAGATGATGAAAGCTGGAGGAATCTCCAATCGGAGGAACAGGAAACCGTGGTTTCGGAGATTTTTAGGTTCAACCTTTACTTTGCATGAATGACCACATCCCACTCCATGGGACTGCCATATATGCCGCCCCATTGACCCCGTCTCTCAACCAGCCAGTCTTATGGACCTGGTTCTTCAATCTGACCTTTTGATAACCTGGTTTGAGGTCACTTAAGCCTCCTTTTCAGGATCACGAAAAGGAACCTTCAAAAGGTCACGAACGGAAGAAGCTGGGAGTGTCCGGGTATCATATTGACATGGTATGACGAGAAATCAGGTGATTTGAACCAGAGGAAGCGCTCCGGGTTCCGTTTGGGGGCTTAGGAGGCGCGCGACGAGGGCGCGTGGAAGCGCATGGCTGGACAGCCCAATTCGATGCGCATCCATGAAGCAAGTCTACAAATTCTGTGGTTTTCCACATACATCCCAAATGCACATGGCAAGAAGACACCAATTAAACATCGAACAGTAAGGGGCCCCCAGTGACCGACCATTTTAAGAACACCATTACAACTTTGGTCTGATTGCTTCTAACCACCCAGTGCTGACCCCTTTAACAGTGCCACTTCATCTCATCCAAGTCTCTTCCCCAGCACTGTGACCTTTCCTTCATACTGCGCGCCCAATTGCACTCGAGGCTCCTCACCCCAGTCTTTGCCTGCGGACATGTGTTTCAAACAAGCTCCACTCAAAAAAGGACTCATCACCCAATCTGACTCTGTGGTGGCTTTGTCTCATGTTTGGCTGCCTTGCCACAAGCGGATGTTTCTATTTCTTTCTTTCCACAAGCGCAAGGATGTGTCAGTTCTCGTCGTGCATGGGACCTTCGGTCTATTTTTACAGCTCCGAATTCCTTTTTCTGGACACGTTTTGCGTCCAGAACTTCTCCCAGAACTTTTGCGATCTAAGAACGTTTTCGAGTTCGAAGGTGGGATATCTTCCATATTGACGTCATATCGACTCTGCACTTGGTAGGGAGCAAGGGGTCAAGCAAACAAAGGTACACTTCTCGATTTGTCGCTGTCCCACAGCGAAGCGCGCGACCATCAAACGGCCCTTTCTACCTTCTCGCTGAAAGTCTTGTGCCCACCCGACTTCGTCGGCGATCGATCAACCACTTGTGGCCTCGGTGACCTCAAAAGGCTCATGCCTACTCCTGAACATGTGTGGAACCTTCAAAGGTATCCCAGTACTCGCATCACCCATACTCCTGAGATCTTTTGGGGTTGGTTCCCAAGGCCACTTGTGGATCTCAGCCATCCTTTCGATGGCAGACAGGAAGTGATCCTGCTGTTCCTTCATGAGGCGCTCAAGCTCCTTCTTTCGGACTTTGCGTCCTGCTTCAAATTTGGGATCATGGATGACAGTCCATCGCTGTCCATTCGCGAAAAACTGAAGCAAAACCTTCCTCGAATTCCACTTGGTGAGGCTGTCGCCTAACTGCACGCCGCCGTGAACCCATCTAAACTGAGTTCCAACCTGCAGTGCTTGGCACACTGAAATCGTGAGTTCATATCCCGATCTTGAAGACCTGAGGCCGTGGAGGCTTGAAACATTTCTCGTGGCGGCATCAAAAATGCCACGAGTGTCCATCACGACAGCTCCATGGGAGCACTCACGAACAACTGAATACAGGTTGTGGCGATCAAATGACTTTCCGTGCAACTCACACCAAAAACTTCGAGCACGGAAGACCAAATCTTCTGCCTCAGTCACACTTTGTACCTCGGCTCCGTTGGAGCCTAGCACCTGGCGAGGCGCTTTAGTGGATTTCCACTGAATGAGGGACACAGGAAACTCTACCCCGTTCAGTAGCTCATGTGGAGCCATGCCAACCACAACGCCCAAAGTGGAGCTCTGGTCAGGGCGGTTCTTCTGTGAGGCGTCAGCCCAAGCCACTGTTGCAATCTCCTGCCATGGGCGGTTCCAGTGAAAGAAGGTCAAACCCTGTTGAGCTTCTCGCATCATCTCTCTGGCCACCTTGTTGGCACGGATGAGGGTGTCAACCGTTGCATACGGCACTTCCGACAAAAGGAGGCCGCAATCAGCAAGGAACTGTGGAGAGGTTTGAGAGGCACGCCATGCCATTGTCCCAACACATCCACGAAGGGCTGATACCTCAGCGGCTGTTGCCTTGTCCTTCTTCAGCTGCATTCGTTCGGCTGTCAGCGGAATTTCTTCGATCCAGCGATCTGTGTACTCTTCTTGAGAGACTCGGATGGTCTTGTCGGCATAGGACTGGATCTGACAACCTGTGAAGGTGAAGGCATCCTCTTCCCACTTTCCCCACTTGTAGGCTTCGCCCAGCTGGCGAAAGGCATTCTGAAAAACATCACTGTCTTCTTGGCCTCCGACCAGTAGGTCATCTACGTGGGTTCCAATGACACTGACAATCGGCATCTCTTCTTGAGAGTGGTCTTTGAGGATGAACACGCATTGGTCGGCCTGGAGCCTCGTGTAGCCAATCTTCTGGAGAGTGCCAGCGAGGTGATCATACCAGGCCCTGGGTGCATTCACTGGAGCTTCAGGAGCAGCTCCAAATAACACGGCAAGCTCTGATGGCGCCCATACCGTCAGGTTCTGGTCCTCCATGTCCTGGTCCGCCTGAAGGAAGGCAGACGTGACGTCGCCGCCTCGGATTCGGAAGCCCAAGTTGGCGCACATAGTGAGAACCATGTTTCTGGAAAGGCGGGCCATAGTCGGAGAAGAGCTCTGCACATTGACCAAGTTTGGTGCTTGGTATCCAAGCACGACCAAGCGAGCTTTAGAGTCTCCATTGGGTTTCACCGTAAGAACCCACCGCATACTCATCACGGTCTTGGGGTTCAGGTTCTTCTCTTCTTGCAATGTCAGGCTGCGAAGAGCTTTGGACTGCAAGACGTTGCTAAGCTCTTTGGCCTGTGCTGCATCAAAGGAAACCTTCTCATCCATCGTGAGCTTGCTCCATTCTTTCTCTTTTCCTTTTTCCATCACTTTCTTTGACAACCACACCTCAGCTCTGTTGGGGTGATTGCTCAGCCATTGCACCTCCTTGGGGGTGATGTCAATCTCGATGGAAAAGGCGGTGTCTTCATCCACCGTGAGGTACATGTTCTGTTCGCTCCTCTTGTCAGGAGGCTTCTTTCCTTTCCTCTTGATCACCTTGGTCGGTGGAGGCTTCTTCTTCTCTGGAATCATCTCTTCGGAGGAATCACTTGAACTTGAGCTGGAACTGGAGGAGGAATCATCATCTTCATCCATTGTGATGCCATCCCTTGAGTTCCAATGAAAGCGCTTGCCATGTTGGTTGATGTGAGGTCCATCATGGCCGCCAGGAAGTGAGCATTCACGCACTGAACAGTGATTGCCGATCACTGTCTGCCCTCCACGTTCTTGAGGAGTCATAGCTTCATCAAGCTGAGCATTTGGACGTGGAGTTGATGGCATTCCTGCCGGAGTTGGCGGGATAGCCAAACCTTCAGTTGCTGGCGCTTCAGGTACAGGAGTCTTCTTGGGCACCTGTTCGAGGGATGGATCATCTTTTCCTTCTTCTTTCTGTCTCTTGGTTCCCCTCGATGTTGGTGCGGATGCGCTGGCGGTTGAAATCTCCAGCCAAGTTTCTCCTGTCCATCGCTCTTGTAGATGTCGGTGAGGTTCATCAGACTCACGAAAATCGTCCTCGAGGGTGATCTTGTTCGACCCAGGGACTGCGGGCTGTACATATGTCTTCCTCACACCTGTCAAGCGGTCTTCAGGGACAGGGCTTGATGCAACTCTTGCCGGAGTGAACAAACCGAGTCGGGGAGCACGATGAACACGGATCAGCCATTTCTCATTTTCGACTCGCCAGTGGTCATTCTTGGGCATCTTCTCTTTGGGCTCGAGGGTCACGGTAGCACCGCTCACATCTTTCTCACGACTCTCTTCAGGTGGAGTCTCACCACAAATGTTGGTGAAGTGCTTGCCAGTGAAGTGTCGGAGGAGTGAGTCAAGCGTCACCGGCATTCGATAGACGGCCGTGCCCTCTAAACTGGCTTGAAGTTCCTCTCGCCGAGTGACTGCTCGAACCTGATTCAACTTTGCCTTGACAATTGCTGAGCCAGTCGCGAGCCAAAGAGTGCTTCCTTCTTGAAGGAGGACTCGAAGAGGTCCTACCCACCGGCCTTTGCCACCTTGTTGTCTCCAGACCATTGTCAGGGCCCCTGTCTTGTAGAGGTTTGGAGCTCGGCCTGTGGCATTCGAAAGGCGGCTCATTCTTGACTTGGCATACTCCATCTCATAGGCCACCTTGGCTTTTGCCTTCAGTTTGAGCATTCCATCAAAGGCCTCACGAGGTCGAAGTCCAACAGGTAAGGTTGGCTCTGGAGCATCTGAGCCACGGCACCATTGGAAGGGCGAGAATCCACTGGCTCCGATCGTTTGGTTGTGTCCATGGACACTGAGGTTCATCAGGTTCTCTGCATCCATCTCTGGGCACTCTTTTCGCATGCGACGGAAGGTCGACTTGAGGATGTTGATACATCCCTCCTCTGCACCCATTACCCAATGAGCTTCTGCGGGTGCAGTGAGCACTCCGATGCCAGATCGGGCCATGTAGTCCAACACCTCCGATGCAGTATAGTATGTTGCTGGATCTGAGATGAACCATCTTGGAGCAGGGTTCATGGACAACCATCTTCCGAAGGACTTGAGGACATCGGAAGACTTTGGTTCCCAATGCTGAACATCGGTGTCTCCAGCGTAGATCTTCAGTAGATCAGCTTGTGCCAGGCCTGATGCACGGTCTCGCCAAAGAATGAATTTGGCCTTCCAGATGAGGTCTTTCTCTTCATCGGGAATCTCGACCTCAAACACGTCTGTTCCAAGCTGCTCAAATAGGCCTGGAAAATCTTCAGTGCCTGAAGGAGGTGGCGGCTTGGGGCGTCGTGCTTCTTCACAGTCAGGACATCGAAGTTCTCCTGCTAAATCTATTGCCCATTGTGGCGCTTGCCTCATTCGGAGAAGCTTCTGCAAGTTGACCATCGATGAATGTCCTGAGGCACGGTGGATCCGCAGCATGGTCTGCTTCACCGTTTCCAGCTTCTTGCCTGTGGGCCTTTCTTGAGCATATCGTTGTCGCTGGAGTGCGAACAGCGAGGGATCTTCTTCTCGGAGCTGGTGAGGACATGTGTCAGCGATGTGTCCTTCATCAACCTCAAGCAGGTGCATCTGGACGTCGTTGGCCAGGGACATGTTGTGTTGATCTTCTGTTGAGGTCCATGATGAAATCACTGCCTGACAGATGGCCTTGACCATGGCCTCTGGGTAGTAGGCTGATGCCTGAGCTGCGGGGCCACGGCATTCAATATGATGTTGGTGACCAGGACATTTGCGCTGCAAGGACAGCCAGATCTGGCGATTGCTTGTCAGAACTGTCCAGCTCTTCAGGATGGGTTCTCCTTGAAATGCCAGTCCGTAGGCGCATCCATGAAAGCGACACCAGAACACTGGGCGACCAAGCTGTCGCATCTTCCTGATCAGCTTCTGAATTGCTTTGCCGTTCCAACCCTTTGCAGCGCCTGTAGGCCATTCCCAAGCGAAGTCGTTGCCAGCATCAAGAGAAATGCATACGGCTTCACTGACATCTTCTGCCCTCTTCAAATCTCTGAATTGCCTCTGAGTGAAGAGAGCTTGTTCATGTTCTGTTCGATGAGTCAGGTTGACCAAGGGGCTGATGCGGGTGCACGGCAAACTGACCCAAGTCATCCGAGGAGGATGGAGAGTGATCTCCTGCCTCAGGAGCTGTGTGCCAGCTCGAGTCTCTAAGTCGTAGCCCTCTCGGTAGTTAATCCTCTTGATGCTGTAGCCCTTGTGTTCCATCATCGAACTCAGAGAGCTGTTGGGGGCACACGCAACCTCCATGAAGTCAACACCAAGCTGCATTTGTGTCATCAGGCTCTGAACGGGTGCGAGAACCATAGTTCCAACCAAGGCGGCTCCCAAAGCCATCTTCTTAAGGGTTCCGGCTGGAACTGCTTGGCTGTTGCTGTGTGCTTTGGCTGTAGTCTGTGTCCAGGCTCGTGGAAGAGCGTCAGGTGTAGTGGTCAAAATTGTGCCATGCGCATCACGAAGATATGGCGAAGAATTGCGATCTGAAAGATCTGTCGTGGTGTTCGTTGTGTTCGTAGTGCCTGTCGTGTGACCATGGCAGTCGGCTGCCGGGTCGCTGCTGGATCCAGATGGATCATGGGGATTGTGAGACATGATGTCTCCTGTGCCTTCGGAGGCACTGCCATTCTTCATCACCTTCAGTCGCCACCATAGCGAGTCCAGTGAACTTCTCAGGCTACCGGCTCCTTGGACTTGTCGTCCTTCATCGGCATCAACTCGTCTTCCGACGTGATGTCCACCACCGGGAGATGCTCGCCATTCATTGTCGGCCCAGCTGATGGGGCTGCTGTCGATGGGCTTGATCGTGACAGGGCTGCCATCATCTCCTTCTTGGCCTTGTAGCCTGCCATCTGAGCGATCTCCTCCTTGAGCACCGATGGGGATCCCGGCACTGTCGTCGAAGGACTTGGCTCTCGAGGAGATGTCTTCTTGTCGCCCTTCGCCTCCGTCTCCCTTTTCGGAGACACTGGCTTGCCGTCGGCTCGGCCGAACTTCTCGAGGCGATCCTCGTACTCCTTCAGAGTGAGGTTGAGGGCCATGGGAGTCTTCAAGCCCATCTGCAACATCGTGCCCTTGATCTCCATGATCTTGCCGTTGACAACATCGGCGCTCATCTCCTCCGGCCTTGTGTTCTTCTCCAAGGAGCTCAATGCCAGCCGGATGATCTGAGGATCCGGGCCCATTTGGCGGGTCTGCCCATGCCCTGCCTTCTTGACCACGTATGTGGTTCGAAGGCCGCACCTGGTACAAAGAGTCAAGGTGGCGAACTGGTTGGATCTCATCTTGCCGTCCTTGTGACCACCGAAGCAGGGGAATCCCGTATGGCGTGGATCGTCGCATGCCGATGGAGTCTTCTCTGGAGAGGTCTTGTCCATGCTCACGGGAACGAACCTGCCGAAGATCTTTGAGCCGTTGAGCCAAGAGCTGAAGACGACTCTCGATGGAAGGTGGATCTTAAACATACGGATTGCCGCCAACAGGATGAATGCTCTTCTGCAAAAACTCTTCATGTGCTTGCGAACTCATACGTGAACATGGTGACATCACAAAAACTGACTGCTCATGTGGTGGCTGCTGCTCAAAAGATGCTGCGCTTTCAATGTTTTCAACTGTCGCCAGGGTCCAGACCTCTTTGGCCGAAGTCACTGGCGATGCTTCTGCTGCCAGGTCGATGGTCAGGTGACCTGACGAGAGAGCTTCCAGCTGAATTGCACTGGCTTCCTCCTTCTCAGAACCATGATGCTCTGCATCGGGCTGAAAAACAAACATGCCATTGTGGTAGGAGATGAGCACATTTTTCTTCCGAAGCAGCTTTGCTCCAATGAGAGGAGGAGTTGAAGCGCCAGTACCATCAAGCACGAAAAAGGACATGGAGCCTAATGAAGTTCCCTCCAAGTCCACTCGACTGACCGCTCTATCGGTCAGCCCGTTCCCAAAACGGAAAGTGGGCAAATTCTCCCGGGAAACAGAGTAAGAAAAGCTGGCTGAATTCACCAAGTCGCTAAGGGCGTTGATGCCCACTGCATTTTCAGTTGCACCTGTATCGATGATGGCTCGAGTGGCTCCTCGTCCATGCAGGGTGTGGGAATCCCAATGCACAGTGAAAACCATTGGCTCTACAAAAAAGGATGCCTTGCCACCAGATTTGCCCTTGCCCTTGGAGCTCTTCCCGAAACCTTTTCCTTTCTTTCCTTTGCCCTTGCCACCAAAACGGTCAGGGCACTGAGCATAGCCATGGGTGTTCTTGCCGCAGATGAAGCAGGGACCGAACCCACGGGTCTTTCCCTTTCCACTGTCTCCCTTCTTTCCTTTCCCTTTGCCCAGCATCGAGGACGTAGGTGTCATCCCCTTGCCAGAAGCACTCTCAGGAGAGTAGTAACCCCTTGCTGCACGAACTCTTTTGACTGCGTCACGGGCTTCACGGAGAGTTCTTTGGGCCTCATTTGCTAAGGCGAAGGCCTCCTGAAATTGCTTCTCCTCTGGCACCTCGCTGGTATCCTCCGGTTCGAAGTCATCAGGCCATGCTTCATCTTGCCAGTCGAGTTCGACCCAAGGATCACTCCAGTCTTGCCAGTAGGTGGGCTCATATCCATCGTCCCAACTGACGGGACTCCAATCATGTTGCTGCCAGTCAAGCTCCTCATATCCATCTTCCATAGCATAGGCCTCAGGGCCCCAGTCTTCTTCCAACATCCAGGCAGTACGTCGTCGTTCATGAGGTTGCTGTTGACTTGCTTCCATATCATCAGAAAACAAAGTCCGGAGGGCCAACCTCACCTGGTGATAGTGAGTACTGTTGGCCGTCTGCGTCAAGACGTTCTGTCTCTCAGAGGTTGAAAGTCGAGCGGCCTTCAACAGTCGATATCCTCTCAACTCATCCTCAAAGAACGAGGAAATCCGGGCGTCAGCTGAGTCTGAAACCTGTCCTCTTGCTCCTGCAACTGGAGATTGTGAGGGAGTGGATGGAGGATCAACTCTCGTCGGCTGCGGCTGTCCAAGAAACGCGGCACCAATCAAACCACTCGTCATATTGCGAGATCCGGCTTTCGACACGCGCGCACGTTCCAATGACTGTTGCAGCTGAACGAAAAGGTCTTCTTCTCTAACTAGCAGCTCTGGAATGGATTCACGGGGCTGTCGCTTCAAATGATGCCAGGACTCGAGTCGGCTAAACGAGTCGGGAACTGGGAGTTGCTGAAGCGGAGATGCTCGAAGGACATCCAGCAAGCGGGACAACCCATCAGCATCTTCATAGTCTTCTGGAGGGAGATGCTTTACCACCGCCTTCGCAGCGCCAGACAATCTCTGCCAAACCTTCGATGCAGCTAACTTCTGCTCGCTATCTTTGAGAGATCTTTGGTACCACTTGCAAGCGATGGCGAATGCTTCAAAGGAAGAAGCATTTCCATCCCATGTCGGGATATCACCTCCACCAGCAGTTGTCGAAGATGCCATCCCCCTGGAGCAACAACTGCTCCGCTACCATGCACTTGGTAGGGAGCAAGGGGTCAAGCAAACAAAGGTACACTTCTCGATTTGTCGCTGTCCCACAGCGAAGCGCGCGACCATCAAACGGCCCTTTCTTCCTTCTCGCTGAAAGTCTTGTGCCCACCCGACTTCGTCGGCGATCGATCAACCACTTGTGGCCTCGGTGACCTCAAAAGGCTCATGCCTACTCCTGAACATGTGTGGAACCTTCAAAGGTATCCCAGTACTCGCAGACTCCAAAAAGGACTTCTATAGATTCCACTGATTCTGACTATCATTTGTATATATACAAGCGTGTATTGTAGTGTGGAATAACATATATACACTATTATATTGTATAACATATATATTCCATATGGTCAATAATATATTGACGTGTGGTGTGTCTCCAATATGAGTTCTCACAAAAACTCATACAGGAGCGAGCTGCGACCGATCCCGCCGTTGGAGTGAATCACTCACGGTTGGAGAGCCGACTTCAGGCTCGGTGGAGAGCCGTTCTTTCATGTTCTTTCTATATGTTTGACTACAGAATGGTCGCCAGGCTGTACTTGCCAGGTACTACGAAAACCAACCCTTGTTTAAGACGAACCTCCAACTGTGTGAGCTTTCTCGTGGGTCGACATTGCAACCAAACGAAGATGCCTGCGAGGTCGACGGGATCTTGGAAACCTTTGCTCCCAACAAACCCCTCACCCTCGCTGTCCCCCCCGATTCGCTGTCCCTCGCCACTCAGAAGTGCTCGTTCTTACCACAACCAAGGCGCCAAAGCGAGGATCAAGCCACAACCAGTCAATTGCACTGCTCCGGAGTCTCCGCCACCGATTGTGGATGTGGTGGTCGTCTCGGTCATGGACTGCGTGACGTTCCCATCAGAGGTCGTGGTCATGGTGGTGCTGTTGTGGGTGCTGGCGATGCTGAAGCCTGAGAGTTGACGAACAGCCCTTGCTTCGCGCAGCCAGTTCATGGGGTTACTGATGTCGTCCAGGAGATCTTCCTTGGTGCCAACCATCGGCCCAGCATATTGGGCAGTCTCCGTCTCACCCAGATTCAGGGTGCCCATCTCATCATCCAACCTGCGAGTCATCGCCTTGCCATCCAAGTTGACACTACCTTGGATTTGCTCAAAGAACCCGGACAAAAACAGATTGTGTATGATTGTGCGTGTTTTGTCTCAGAAGGGGATTGACTGAACGTTTTTGGGGAAAATAAGACGTCATCTTGAGCCAAACCAGGCCACACAAAGCGGTGGGGGATGACGAAGTTCCCTTGAAGACCGTGAGGGCCAAAGGCGCTGCGAAGGACCAGCTATCTTCTGTCTGAAAGTCAGACTTTCTCAAGATGGTTCCCTGGACAGCATCCTTCACATGGCTCTTGGCGTGGGCGCGCTGGCTGGACACATAGTCCTTGTCCTGGAAGCGCCCGTCGGTCAAGGAGAGCTTCTCCCCATCAGCATCCTCCGTCAAGAGGATGGCAAAGTCATCCTTCTCACCATAGATGCCAACGAAAGCACAATCTCCTGGGGCCAAGGACCTAGCAACGCCGAACGAAAGCGCGAGGAATGCGATGGACTTCTGGAAAGCCATTGCGCTGCTGACAGGTGAAAAAGCAACGAGACTCGCACACTTCCCCTTTCAGGTTTTCCTTCAGCTGAGAAATTGCCGCGGAAAGAAGAAAACACACATCCGAAGGCAACACCTGTGTTCAAAGTACAACTCCTTTGCAAGGTCAGCAAGCCAGGCAAGCCACAGTGTCTGTGTTCTTAGTCATGTTAGCCCTCAGCCTTCAATCATGAATCCAAACAAAAAAAACGTGTTGTCACAACCGGCCACGGATGGCTTTTGAACTCCCCTTTCCAGGCCTTTGTAGAACTTACCGGTGAAGCGCAGTTGACCTCACATGGACGAACAGTTCCTCCGCACAGACGAACCGCGGGGTGTGGCGCAGATCGTGATCGTCCCGGGGTGTGGCGCAGATCGGTGGCGAGGTTGACTCGGGGGTGGCGACTCATCGGTTTTTGAAACTGTGAAGAGGTCGCACCACTTTAGAACAGGGCGCTCGTTGGCCCAACGCAGCTGTTCTACGACTGCCAACAGAAACAAAACTCAATGACTCATTGACTGACATTCTCATCTGTATACCGTCTCTACCCTCCCCAGCCGCTGCACCAAAAAGCACCACCCGCTCTGCTCCGAGCGACTGCCGCCGCCGAAGTCCACGCGCGGCATCCTGGCTGGACGAACAACGCGCGATTGCCATCCGCCGCGGTGCCGCTGTTGGATGGTGGGGATTTGGGAGTGGGTTAAAAGGGATGGAGACAGGAGGTCTATATTTGAAAGCTTCAAACCCAGACACGACTCATGGGACCGCCAGGACGGACTGCCAAGAAAAAAAACCAGGGGTGGTTGAGAGACGGGGTCAATGTAGGCATAATATGGCAGTCCCTTGAAGTGTCTGGCAAAGTCGAAAGGTTCCAAGAAATCGGGCAACTTATAGCCGCACCATGTGAAAATGAGCATATCACCCCTTTTGCCAGTTCTCGGAGGTGACCGAAAGCCGCACAGGGCCGTCACCCAATGCAGTCTGGGCTGTACCCAATGCCAAATCCCAATAGCTTTGCAAAACATGTAACAGCCTAACAGCTTCCTTGCTTCGTGGAAGTGATTGGGTCTTGGGTGCATTGATCAAAAGAATCAAGATGAAACAAAATGAAACCAGGAGCCGGGCATGGTGGTCTGAAGAAACGACTGCAGCACTCCCTGCAGCATGGTTGCGGCAGCACTCCTTAGCTCACCAGTCCAAAGTCCCATAAAAACCTCCTTGGTTGATCCTGATGTGGTATCCATGGCATGAAATGGTGGCGAATCCAGCTTCTGTTGGTGGACTCTCGCAAGATCAAACGAATCAAACGACAAAGATCGAAGCCTACCCAGTGGCCCACAGGAGCCTAAGCTTCCAAAGTCGTGAAACCTTAAATTGTTTTCTGCGATCTGCAATCACTCAACATGACCCAACATGACCATCATGTATAGACCAACTACTCAAAACACGGGTCACCTTGGCTTCAGGGAGTTTCAAAGACATCCTGGAGTCCCAACTCACGCGTGGCCCCTGCGTGGCGCCCGGCGCCTCACTTCCGCTGCCTGCCGCAGCCCTGCGCTGCCGCCGCCGCTGAGCTCATAGCGGGCATCAACGCCTTTGAGGTCTTCGGCAGTCAGCCTGATCTCGGTTGCACCGCAAAATCGGTTGGTCCGAAAAAAGGAACAGGTAATAACAGGTACACAAAAATGAATCCAAATGAACATTCCTTGCCCACCCTAATGCTGTGCTTTGCAGACTCTGGGCATTGCATGGTTCTGTTAAGACACTGGCGCAACCGGGCGGTTGTGGTTGAAGTGGAAGTGGAACGTGGGGGTGGCTCCCAACATAGACATTGATAGCCGGACTCTACGGTATCCCCTCAACAGTCCGCAAGCGGTTTCTTTTTGTCTTCCCTCCTGAACGCCGCGGGGACCTTCTTCGCTCTCTCACAATTGGATCAAAGAGTCCGATTGCACTGCGTCTTAATGTTGATGATCAAACACCCTCTTCGTATGGGAGTGTAATATGTTGCCATGCGGTATACCTCATATATGTTATTCATCAACAGGCAACCTATTAGGTATACCGCATATGTAGCCCTGGGTCGCTCAGCTCTGTCACCCGACCAAACGCGACCGACTTTCGACGACGAAACGCGATAGATCCGGGACGATCGCTGAGTCCGTAGGGGTTTGATGCAGCCAGTCGTGCTGATCAGGTTTGACCGACCAAGATAGACCAAGCATGTCAAGTGCCCGCCACCCGAGAAAATGGCCTTAAGTAACATTTCCTTACAGTGCCATACAGTACCTACAAGCTGAGGCCAAGTGCCAAGTGAGCTGCTGGTAGTGATAGTGATGCCTGTTCCTAGACGGCAATCACTCACCCGAAGACACTGTGCAAACTCAGGCTGCTCACCTTCCCCCAGTGTTTCTGAAGATGGACAGCCCCCCCAAGTGGGTTTGATGAAAATCACGTGAAGTGGATTCTCTTCTCATGGCTGCCCTTGAAAAGCCTGCCATGTAGTTAAACATGTCTCAGAATTGGCTGCAGCAAAAGGTAAATATGTGGCACATCAACAGTCTATTGCAACCCAACATAGAGAGAACAAAAATCAACTAAACATCAATCCCAACAAGTGAGGCCCCTTTTTCGAACACGTCTCGTACACTCCACCATTTCATACCCAGACACTCCATGGGACTGGCATATTGACCTATCATTGACCCCCCAAAAACACCACCCTGGCCGTTTCTCGGCAGTCCGTCCTGGCAGTCCCAAACAGGTCGTGTCTGGGATACACTCATACACTCCACCATCTTCACCATCCCCCGGAGTGATGCACCTCAAGGTGCCGGAGGTATCACCCTCCTGGGTGTACTGCACTCCACCAGACGCTAGCACCTCCTGGACCTGTGTCCGTCGCTGAGTTGTTTGTTTGTGCAGACAAAGGGTTTGAAGGTGGTGAACATGAACTTGGACCTTGCAAGCTTTTGCGACCAACAAAGCCTTAAAGGGTCTTCATCCAATCTTCATCATCAGTGTTTTTTCGCGAAAGGCAGCTCCATGGCTTGCCTGTTTTCTGCACATCGGATGGGCATGCTGGGCATTGGTTTACAGCGAACCCATGCATGTTCAGAAAATGGTCTTTTCACATGGCTGCATTCCCTGACTAGGGTCGCTAGAACTTTACGTCTTATGACATGGTGAACCAATCTCTTCCACATTACTGGCTATCTCAACCCGGAACAAACGCATGGCACCATGCCACCATGCCGAAACATGTGAAACAGGTCAACACGTATCTAAACATCACCCCCTTGGAAAACACACCAACACTCCAACGCTCTGAGACTCCGGTCCGTCTCTTTTTCCCGTCCCCGCCTTCTTCGGGCGGAAGCTGCCCACAGCTCCCAGCGAGGGCTTCTCGTCGCCCAGCTTGTAACGGGCTCGCAGGCCCAGCATCCTCAGGTTCGCGGCGTCGACAGCACCCGGGCGAGCGGTGGCCGGAGGGAGACCCACACCGTGGCGTTGTGCAGAGGCTTGGCAGGGGGGATGAAAGAAAAGAAGGCCAGCACCAAAGGCACTTCCAGCCCAGAAAGTATGTGCATCCAACTTTGTGCAATGAGTCACTATATATCAACTATCCCACGTCCACCTCTTCCACACCCCTTCCACACTCCTTCCACCTCTACATCCACCGGCCGCTCTGAAGCCATGGCACGAGTTTTCACCCGCCACCTTAGGGGCCAACTTCGACAAGTCCATGGCTGCAGTAGCGCCCAAGGGCTGCAGAGTCACCACGCCCTCCTGCGCCGTAGCCTGCCGGTCGCAAAGGTCGGGTTTGGGGTGAAGCGGGTCGACCTAGCAACAGGACACGCAGCGATGGTGGAATACTCAATTGGACAATTTGGCTCATGACATGTGATCAATTGTGTCTTTTGTGTTTGTAAGGGACCTTAGCTGCTGTCAAATTGGCAAAGGGTTGCAAGCTGTGCATTTACGTGACAACAAGGGCCATTTAAAAAAAAAGACAAACGCAGAACAATTCCCATGGGTTGAATGAATTGCACGGCATGTCACGTCGGTTTGTCTCGGAATGGAAGATTTGTCCATGCTCACAAGGTTTCAGAGCTCTTCTTTCTCACACAACCCGGAAGACCTCCAAAGTTTTGTGAAGCACCGTGCTGCTTCCAGAGCCCACAAGAACTCTGCCAGAACCCCACCAAGTCAAATGTACCATGCCATATCTCATATGCTGCAATGTCTTGGGGTCCCGGGATCCCTCATTATTTAAGATCTCTCTTCATGACCAGATTTAGTAATTTAGTCTTTGGGAACTCTCCTCATGAAGAGATTTAGTTCTTGAGGATCTCTCTTCATGAAGAGATTCAGTCTTCGAGATCTAGTCTTTGGGAAGTCTCCTCGTGAGAGGTTTAGTCTTTAAAAAACATATATTAAAGAGATTCAATTTTGGGTTCTCTCTTCATGAAGAGATTTAGTCTTTGGGGTCTCTCTTCGTGAGAAATTTATAGTCTTTGAGATTTCTCCTCATGAAGAGATTTATATAGTCTTAGGGGCCACTCCTCATGCCACTAATAGAGTTTCATCCCAATGCCACTCTTCACAAATAGCAAACCATCCAAGGGGGTGTTCTTATTTAGTCGCGACTCGACGTTATTATAGAACATATATATTACAATACATAATATATATGACTATACCTGGTTCTTCAAAGTGACCATTTCATCCCTGGGCTTGAGGTCACAAACAGGCCTGTAAAAGATCGCAAGCAGAGACTCCAAAAAGGTCGCCTCTCAAACAGTATTACTTATATATATTTAATATAAACACAATGAAACACATACACTTCCAAGTCACCTCAGGTACTAGGAAAGTCCGACTCCTCCAATCGGCTCCCCAAACGGGCGACCAACTGGTGATCTGCCTTGACATCGGCGCCCACGACCAGGCCATCGACCAACTCCCGCTTGCCATTCCACTCCCCATAGCCTGTGGACTCGTCCAGGTCAACCAGTTGGACCAACGACTAAGACGACTCGGTGCTCGGAAGTTGGGTGCCAAAAAAAAAACATCGATCACACTATATCATTGGAGGACAAATACAGTACATGATCGAAGCTTATGCACCCGAACTATTCCAATCCAACCATCAACCATCCCTTCAAGAGGGGTATAATCCACCAGTTTGTCTGCTCTCTGGTCCATTAGTCTATTAAGTCGCCCAAAGAGCTGCCAGGGCTGCCAGGCATGGGAAACCCAGGGCTGTCTGTACCTGGTGGGTGCGTGACCAAATCACCTCTTTTCCGACAAATCTCTCATCCCCCGATCCCTTTGGCGAGGATTTGGTTGAGTTTGGCATCACCTGGCCATCCCTTCAACCCACGAGAACGAGAACAAACAAACACCCGAATACATCTATGGTGGCTTCGCCCTCCGAAACATTGAAATCGTGCCTGAAGCAGGCTTCTCCCGCATCTTCAATGCAAAACGGACTCTCCGTTCGCCAAACCCTCACCTCTAGGCCTCGCCTGCAAACCTTCATAGCCCGCGCCCGCCTTGAGCCTGGTAGTTCCCTTCCGGCGACACATGTGCAGTGACTCCAAAGCTCGTGCCCAGCTTGGCGTTCGCCTTGGCGCCGGCATCCAGGCCACCCTTGGTCATGCGCAAGGTGTACCTGGGCGGAAAGGGACGGACATCCCCAAAAGAAAACGGAGGAACTCCGTGTTGAGAGGCGGGGAAATGGCATGCAATGACAGTGAGATACAATCATTGGACGAGGAACAAACCCTCAACCACTGGCATGAGGACTACAAACCTTCGGATTACCTTGATCAAGTCTTCCTGCTGCGTAGCTTTGCCTTTTTGAAACCAGAGCCAACTACCTCATGTTTTCTCCAGCAACCACAGCCTTACAACACTTCGTGTGCTGCTTTCATCCGCGGATCCGAATCAAAGATCACTCTGGCTGAACCCAGGTCTAAACATTTCAGAGTGCCTCTGATCCAAGTGGCTGGGGGTCGGTCGAGAGAATCCTTCCACCTCAGCTGAAGCAATCGTCCATGTGGTCCATTCAGGAATACTAGAAGGGTCAACGCCAGGTAATACCTCTTGATTAGTCATATATAGATCAACCATTAGCAAAAGGCCACCCATGAAAAACACTCCTGAACCAAATCCTGACCACCTCTGCAGCTTTGATTTCATCTCTGGAGCTTCAACCGCGGCATCTGCCATCCAATCCAAGGCACCTCGTTTGGAGCTCAAGCCCGTCAAACGGCCCCGCAAGAGTGCTTCCCAGTCCAGATTCAAGGTCTGGTTCTGGCGCCGGCGCCGGCGCTACAAGCGCTTGTAGCGGACATCGCGCGAAGTCCGCGCCGACGACTCGCGCGTTTTTGGTACACGGAGGATCTATATAAGGTTGAAGTGACCAAATTCCAAATTCCGATTTTCTCTCGCTCAGTGAATTGATTTCCCACCGATTCACCCACCCGGACAAACAAAGAGACCCAAGGTCCAAGGTCAGCCGCCGACAGCCGAACGCGAGAAATACCAGGGTCATGCAGACTAACATGTACAGATCTCTGGAAGCAACACCGAACGGGTCTGGATCCTGATGCCGGCCTCACCGGCTTCAGCCTGAAAGATGTTGAACTTTGCATTGATGTCACTCTCCTCAGGTGCATACCTGGACCCCGCCCCAAACCATCCAAAACCACCCCGGCCCAGACGGGGGTCAAAGGCAAGCTCGCAAAAAAGGAGTCCCGTTCCAAGTAGCAACTCGTTTTCTCCGGACATACCATATGGCAGAACATGCATGTATAATATAGTATGGTTCTTCACACCTACACGAGAAATACTGCAGGATGTCGAGCGAAAAGCTTCTGCCCACTACCCAAAATTCTGACATTTTATGGCGGTGGCGCTTTACCATGTTTGAACCCCCGAAGCAGAGTTGTTCTTCACTCAAGGTCCCAAGACCTTCTGGTATTGTCTTCAGGCCCAACCAAAATCTGCGCAACCTCTGAACATTCTGGCGATATGTCTGTTTCTCATGGTCTTCTAAATTTGTGCACGATCTAGAAACACCCCAACCCCCCCCCAAAAAAAAGGCCATGTCTGATCAAACCTCGCAAGTCAGAACACCCAACTTCGTCCCCAAACACATGGGATGTTCGCTTCTGGTCTTCCCCAAGTCGTTCCTCCCCGCCGGTCTAAAGCGTCGCCCGAGGCACTTCAAGCCCAAGCCCTGTCGGACCCAAGGAGTCCAACCGTCACCGCGGCCTACGAGGCGCGCAGAGCATGAAACGGCGCGGGTGTGATTCTTAGTGTGTTTGTTCGAGTTCTTTAGTCTATTAAGTTGACCGTACTTGACGTCAAAATTAACATCATTTTTCTGTCGAAAACCATCTAAAACCATCTAAAACCTAAAGTTTGCACAATGACAATTGGTTTCACGTTTATCAACGCTTTGTTCTTTCCCAAGTTGGTGGCCTGAGGTGCTGCAAAATCACTCTTCAATCTATAATATGCATGCTCAAAGCCTTCTCCAAAGGGATCCTTCAGCTATACTTCAAAGCCTTCTCCAACACTCCGATTTGTGTTGTCCCCCTTGTCCAGACACCTCGATTTAGGTCACGACCGCGGAGGTCACGGGGAGGTCGGGTCCGGTCGGGTCCTGCCTTTGGCGTCCAAGGCATAGGACCAGAAGAGTGAACGCTTCAATCGCCTGCGGGGAGATGAGGAGCGATCTCTCATTGGGCGTTACCAAAAGCATGACAATACATGACCAACAACTACTGCATGGATGTGGACTAATGTCAGACTATGTAACGTTGTATATATATATATATTATATACACATGTATACACATCATATTACAGTTCACTTGTTTTGAAAAGGGAGATCAACTTGCATTGGCAACAACAAAGCTTGCCGTGAGATCCATGTGGCTTGGCCCATGATCAGCAAGCGTGTTCAGCAGAGTAGCTTTAGGGCAGCTTGCCCTAGCTAGCCACTTACAATCGTACTTATCAACATTTCCGGCTTACTGGACCTCTACTAAGCAAGGGAGTTGGACCTTGTCTTCGCTGTTTCATTAGACCAGAGTCCTATTTCTCTGTCGCACTGAGCGTTATTGTTTTTTTGCCTGAAGCTACACATCGCCTATGCCACATCGACGACCCTGAGCATATTTGGCTGTTGATGGAGCCACGGTCCCATGTCCTTGAAGAAGATTGTGCCTGCTGTGTTTGAATGTTGGGAGCCTGGGTCCCTCAAAAGCCACTCAGATTCCCGCAGCTTCATGCAAGCTTTACGACCACATCTGTGCCTAGCAAGGACCAATTTGATTTGGGACCTCCAGGTCTATCGGTCTATCAATCAAGCATCATCAAACCATTGTCCACGAATTGGGATCAATACAAGCCTGCAACAAAACACATACCCTAGGGCTCCAAGTACCTCCTGAGAAGGTATTTGGACCCTCTAAACTCACCCCAAACACCTTCTTAGAAGGTACTTGGAGCCCTAGGGATACATACAAAAACATCATCAACGACGCCTGTGCCACCACACCCCCAGCGCTTCACATCGCTGGTGTTTTTCTCGCGCCTTTCCACAGCCAGTGCTGCATCGTAGACGATGTCCCCAAGGCCTTTGCCCGTCACGGAGATCTGTTGAGGCGAAGTTCCATGTCCAGGGCCTCGCAAGTCGAGCTTGGAGGGGGCACGGTTCAGCTCGTCGGCTCGGAGCACAAGAAGAAAGCCGCCATGTTCTTCGTTGGGAGTGCTGGGAGTGGAGAGCCGAGCAATTGGGTTTGAGGATCCTTGCTTGGTGCTTTTTGTCTGTGCTTTCCGTGCTTTCTATGCCAAGTGGTGGCGACATCCTATACAAAGGGACAGTGGTTTGGAAGCTCAAATGATATTAGATGTGCCTAAAATGTGCCCAGGATTGTCATTGTGATGAGGTCACAAACTCCTGTCAGGTCCATGAGCGAAATTGAGCGAATTGCCACCTTAGTCGCCATTAATTAAATGAACTACGTAGTGAAGCGATTAGATCGGACACAACTGCAATGGTGTGCTGCCTTTGCATGGGTTGCATGGGGCCAGGACTGGACTCGCTATAGACAAATTGTTTCTGTGACTTGCAGTGGAATCAACCATCAAACCATGCACGTCTCAGGTGCTTCGAGACTACGAATTGTCGCTACTTTCTCCATCGTGTGGTCATCAGTGACGGTCTAAATGAGCTGATACAACCGGGTCACGTTAAGATTCATGCCCAAGATATTTGGGTGAGTGAAACATCATGACAACTTATGATACCCTCGGGCTCAAAGTACCTTCTAAGAAGGTGGGACTGGGGTGGGTTCAGAGGGTCCAAATACCTTCTGAGGAGGTACTTGGAGCCCATCCGGGATACTATAAAGTATCATCCTATCTCCATCCACAATCGACCGTAGACTACAGGCAAATTTCAGCACCTGCGGCGGGTAGGAACCACCCACCCACGTGGCGTCCCACGGCCCAGCGTTCGTCCGCCTTCCACGCGCAAGGTCCACTCCGGATCATCGCCGTCCTGGATCGGAGGGGGTTCGGTGACGGGGATGGCATGGCAGCCGGAAAGAGAATGCATGAAATCCAAGCAAATCCAAGCTGAAATCCAAGCTTTCAGGTATAGGCTTAGGGGTCATATAGGGATCATAGTAGGGATCATATCATATCCAAGGGGAAAGGTGTCCATGCACTTTGATGGGCAGTTGGAGGAAAGGTGCCACTAGACATCAGATTTGAAGTGGATGATGACCGCTCCTTGTTGAGGAAAGTCATCTTTGGAAGCATGCTATTGGAATCTATTGGACATTTATGCCACCCAAGACCCATCTTAGTGAGTCAGAGTGAGCGAAACGACTGGATCTCTCCATCTCAACCAGTCTCTACACCGTCGTCGACTGGACCGTCGTCTTCGACCGTCGTCTTCGCCCGATCCGTTGTCGCATCGTCCGTCATTTGGGTGTCGATTTCAGAGTCACAAGCATTCAATGATAAACAACCATCACATACAATATCATACAATAACCTCATTCTTGAGTCCGTGTCATTCTTTTTCGATCAAATGAATCCCCCTTCACCCATCTTCACCCTGGATCGGTCAAACCAAGTCACAGTGATACCCGTGGCATAGACCCTGGTCTTGCAGGGTGGCTTCCTGGGTGTTGGTCACCCATGACTTCGGTGAACCACAACGTGCGTGAAAAACGATCGGTTTTTGACAGAACGATGGCGGGTCGAGCACCGGAGTTGGACAGGTTGATATGCTGGTTGTGATTGTTTGTTTGTTGTTGTGCCACTTGTGTGTGTGTGTGTGTAAGCACGTGCACGTGCACGTGCGCGCGCGCGTGTGTGTGTGTGTGTGTGTGTGTGTGTCTGTCTCTTTGAGCTTGTACACTTGGCAGTAGCATCTCCGTCGACTCATGCAATGACCTTGTTCGGATCGAATCAATTCTTGACCAAACGACTCAAAGAAAACGTTGGCTTCTTTTGTTGGCACGTAACATGAGGTTGGAGGCCATCGCTATTATATTGGAGGCCACTGCTATTAGATTGGAGGCCATCGCTGTTAAATAAGGGTGTGATATTGACGGGTCTGGCGCTGAGTGAAGTTGCCCCTCCAAGGTTTTTGACGCACGGCAGTTGACTGACCCTGTCTACCCCAATGCCATCTAGGTCTTTAGCGCTGAACTCCAGCCCTTAACATGCTGACCAAAAGATACGACCAGAACTAGCCTCAAAGGCTCCTGGATTTCAAGACAACGATGAACATCGAATCCAATAGAATCCAGTCTAGACTTCAACTGAAGGCCAAATATCTTCCACACCCGCCCTACTTTTCTTTGGGCGAGACTGGGCTTCGCGGCGAGAACATCTCTCGCCCCTTCGCCACGCCAAGTGTCCAGTGGCTGCGACTGGAGTCGTAGTTGATGCCGTAGGCCACCTGTGACACTGCCCGAAACCGGTCCCGAACCCGGACGAACGGACGGGTTCCGCGGGTCTGCTCTCTCCACGCCGAGGTGGACAACGCAACGCGCCACCGGTGACAACCACGGCGGTGAAGCACGTGGTTCCATGGTCAGGTCCGGACTTGCATGTGGATTTGGTCAGGGCAAGACGGAGCGCATGGTCCCTGTGAGTCAATACATGACCTGTGTGGCTGTTGCCTTCGTCTTTTCGAGAAAGGTATACGGTATACGGAATCTTCGAACGGAAACATGGCGTGAACAGTGTGAATTGTGCGAAGGTTGACCTTTGGATACCTTTGGGCTTTGATCAGATTCAACCTGCTTAGCGGGGCACAGCGAAGGCGCGCTGTAATGGCTGATTCCAGGATCAATAGGGTAGGGATGGGTAGGGACTGGTGAAACAACATCACAGTGCAGGTTTATGAGGTGAACTTGTCCAATTCATTCATTTAGGTATCCCTCAGCGCCGTGAGTGACATCAAATAGTCATTGACTGGTCACTTATATAATGCTCGGGCACAAACTCTGGAGGTGTCCCCATCTCCCGGAAACCTCAAACACTGGTCCATGCTCAGGGAGGTGGCTTCCCGAAGCTTCCCGAAGTAGCTGCTACCACTCGGGACACACATCGCCTCCTCGCCCTGGTCTTTGGCGGCGAAGAGCGCTGATGAGCCATCGCGCTCAGTCGCCCTGGGGCGGGCGACTTTCATCTGTCATGTGCCTCTTGAAGGACTGGGGGTACTTGGAAATATGAAGAATCCACTCAGGAAGATTCTTCTACCTGGTGGGGTTCTTGGTCTTCATCCAGGTCCTGGTAAAACCTTAGTTGAATCGATAGCACCAAAGTTTGGCGAGCCCAACCAGTTGCTTCAGGAAGATCCAACACATGCTGCGCAAGCATCCTCTCTTGAAAACATCCTCATTGAACAACATGTCAGGGAAAACACCTTGATACCTCAAACATCCTCAAACATTTGTCCTTGAACAGAGTTCAATTCGAGGAGACTTCACAAGGTTTGCCAATTTCTTGTATATCATCCCGTCCACCTGTAACCTAAAACGACTCAAAGTAAGAAGCACACATGTTGCTACTTGGTATATGAATCCCAGTACTGTCGCTCGGAAGGGACTAGCACCCAGCAAAACTCCCTTGGACAAGTTGGATGAATAGGAGTCCAACAAACTTTGAGATCTTAATCACTATAGATCACTATAGACTATACTATAACTGCTCCTGCACTACCTTCCATTGGGGTAAGTGTCCCAGTGAACCCTGCCAACTCTCCGTCCTTGCCCAACAAAACTTTGTCCAGCACCCGACGGGTAACTGCGAGAGCAAAACTGCTTGTGAGATGGTGTCTTACTGCTCGTGCGGGCCTCACTTGCCACTGATCCCCTCCTTGCGAGATGGTATCCTTAGATCTCAACTTCAGCTGAGAGAAGACCATCAAGATCATGAGCTGGTCAAGCAATTCTCATGAGTTCCATCGCACATGTTCCTTGTTTTTAGGGCTCCAGTCGTACCTTGTGAGGTTCGGCGGGACTGGGGTTGGTGCCAAGAGGGTCCAGTCATAGCTTCTGAGGTACGACTGGAGCCCTATTAAGGTGTGTCTATTTGTTTTCAGTGCGCGTTGCGCAGTCGGAACCCGTCCCAGGAGCCACCGCAAACTGGCTTCCGGCCACGCGGAAGTTGTGCGGCTGCTTCCAGACCTGTGGCGGAGGTGCCAGGCGATTCATTTGGAAACTGGTCACTACCCCTAGGGCTCCCAGTACAGTTTTTTGGACCCTCTAATACGACTGTCAGCACCAAGGTACCCAGTCCCACCGAACCTCACAAGGCACGACTGGAGCAGTAGGGTACTAACAACAACTCTGTGGGAAGCTTCGTGATTTTCCTTGGACAAGACAACATCTTCATATGAATTGAACCAACAGATCCACAGCCTTTGCTACTCAGCCTTATTATAATCAATAAAACGTTGATAAGAAGTTGTAAACTTGTAGTTGATACAAGAGTCTATACGATAAGTGCAGAAACGATCATATATGAATCATAGAGCTGATTCTCTTTGGCATCATGTTGAGACAACCCCCTGTTCAACAAGCTTTGTCTTGAAAGAAGAACAACCTGAGCAGCTTATACTCTTGAGATGTGTGTCTTTATTTTTGGCCTTATACATCCTTATACTATAACTAAATATCTATAATGAACTATATTCATCTATATTCCATCGTCCCTTCAACTCATCTGTTCCCCAACAGTTCCTTGCTGAAAATGGACATCTCCCATTCAAAGATGCATCAAACATGGACCCGTCCGAGGTTTAAAAACAGAAGACACACAGCTCAGCGACCCCACAACAACTGTCTTGGCAGCCCGCATGGGCAGCCCGCAAGGGCTGCTGCGATAGTAATATTATACCTATGTGTTCCCTACTCCAAGGCAGGTCTGCAATATCTACCCTTGTGCTCTCACATGAAGTCATTCTCTCTCAGATGTCCACGTTGAACCCTTGAAGCAAATACTTCCATCGAGGATCGCCGAGGCACACCTTTTGGTTGTTCAAGTACTTTTCGCCACCTGAACTGCTTCTATTTCTACATCTAAAATGCATTGCTCGACACCTCACACCAAAAATCCACCGCAAACACATTCTACCATAACCAAACCCATACACTTACACCAAAGACGAATAAATGACACACCAAACACCAGCTTATAAGAACACCACCCAGTTTTTTCACGAGCCTCCTCGGGCGCGCGCCAGTTTCAAACCCCCAGAAACCCGGCGCAGGAGAACCGGTCCCGCTCTTCGGGCAGCGGTGCGCCTTGGCAGTCTTCTCCAGCTGCTCACGAGTCTCGGTCTTGGTCCATCCCAAGCCCACAGGACCGAAACAGAAGGCCTGACGAGCGAGCGCGAGCCTCGGTCACCAACGCATGGACGAGCGTTGGACGAGCCCGAGCCCTCTGGCCCTCTGCATGGAGAAGAAAGGCGCTTAAGCTTGGGATGGGGAGAGGAAGTGCTGCCACTGGAATCAGAACGAACATAGCGAAAACATCAACAAACAAGAAGACAGCTGTCCTATGCCGTTTCAGATGTTTTTAAATGTTTTCAGGTGCGTGTTCCTTGGGGTAGGATGGGTAGGGTCGTATATTATAATGGATAACTGATTGAAGTCTTCTGCTAGCCGACTAATGCCGACTACAAAAATCGGCCGGGTTGATCTATGCTGCTTTGACCTCTTTGCGGACGCGTTGGTGCATCTTTTCGTTCTGTTGGCATGATGCTGCTGTCGAGAAACTTTTACTTGATCATGGATGTCCAGGGTTGTTCTGGAAATCCCTTCCATGATTTTGATATAAGAGGAATCGATTCTGCAGCGGTCGAGGAAACATTGAAGACATGATCTTGAAGCATAAGCAGTCCTCAGATGCTGAAACACTCCATAGATGCTGATAAATGTCACACAAATAGCTAACTAGGCAACATATACAGGAGCAAGTGATAGCGATGCTCTGCACCGCTTTTTTTGTCTAATTGAAGAACCTGCTACCTTGACCATCGCAAGGATACTGAGGTTGGGACCTCTAGGGCCTCTAGGGCATGCACATTCAACATAAACAAGAAGGGAACCAATCTGGATTTTGAGAAAACCACCTTGGAATTCCTAGAACCGCGACTAGCTACGAAACATAGGGGGCTGCCAGTTATCAACATTGAACATTTAGCCAGATGCCACCAAAAGCAGCTTCTTCTCAGTCTAGGAAAAATTATGTTTCTATTCAAAAGAAATCAAAACACTGATTGGGAAAGTCTCTGCGCAGCCTTCATTCTGTTTCCAATTAAATGTGGATCTGTAGAGATTGCCTCCAACCTAATAGCGCTGGCCTCCAACCTACCAATTGATTTGTACCAGTCAAAAGACTTTCAGATGTTTGGTGTTCCACCCAAAAGAAGCGTCATGTCGTGTTCATGCCGTTCATGTCGTGTCATTTCCTTCAAAACCCAAACGCCCAGCCCTCCCGCGCCGCCACAGCTGCAAGCGCCAATGCACTGCGCGTCGTCCGCGTTCCACGGCGCGCCATGCGACCAAAAGAGGGACGACGGTGGAGAGAGAGGGGCGAGTCCGGGCGAGCCACAAGGGGCTGCGAGTCATGGTGGCAGTGGTTTGGGTCCAAGATGTGCAATACCAAATCATCCCAAGTCCATGAAATCACACTGACTGGTGAGATGGTGAGAGGAGCCTGATGGCTCTTTCAGTCTGCCTGGCCACCTCGCGATCCGAAGGAGGCGGTCAAAAAAGAGCTATAGCAGCTATTCATTCTTTATCAGTCTTTTCTCGGGCCAATCAGCGACTGTGGAGTGCTCTGGATTCGTCTGTTTGTGTTGGTTCGTTTGCAGTCAGGGCATCAATCTCATTCACCCCCAGGACCCTTAGGGGTGGACCCGCAGCAGTCGACTCTGTCTCTGTCAAAAGGTCTGGAAATAGGCCCCAAACGGGCTCTTGACCCACATCCTCAGGTAGGGACAACCCTCCCCCCTAAAAAAACCAACCACCCCAGGGACCAAAAACGGAAGTCGGCCAGCAAGTGGCACTTACCCCAGACATTTAATGGGACTGGCATAGGACTGCCGATCAATAGGGGTGGTTTTGGGGGTCAATTGATCGGCATATATGCGGCAGTCCTATGCCAGTCCCATCGGTCGTGTCTGGGTACTAAAGTCCCCTACCAATCAATCGTTGCCGTGGCCATCCACCTGCACCGCCCGCCTGGCCCTTCTCGAGCTCCTTGACGCCTGGAGAACATTCCGAAAACGCCGCACCGCGGTGGCCGACCGAGGTCACTACGGGAGCCGAGGTCGCGGTGGCCATGGCGGTCGCTATGGGTGATTGATCCGAACCTGGCCCACATCGGTTGAACATCCCACCTGGAGGGAAAGACTTGGAGTGTCTGGGTGAAGACCTGGAGTGTCTAGTGTGTCTGGGTAGCAAAGATCGTCTTCCACTCCGAACTCGTTTCACATGGTGACGTGGAGTTCACCCCATGGAATTCCAAAGGAAACCATAGTCTTCCAAGGGACCATGTCATCCACTTCCATGATAGTGAGTCAGAGTGTATTTCATGCTATTTCTGTTCCTGAATAGGATCTTCGATGATCTTCGCAATTCTTCGAGTGTTGGTCAACTCTGACTCCAAGGAATCCTTTGTCCGCACAAGTCCTTCACAGCCTTGACACTTTATATTTTATTCATGGAAAAGAGCCAAAGACGCTTCACGTGGATGCAGGGAATGGATCGAAAGGGCGATGACCGACCACACGACGTCACTCGACACGGCGACCGAGGATCCGCGCGGCCCACTTCGCTCTTGATGGCTGCCTCCTGAGCGAAGCAACCAGTCGTTCCATAGTCGATTGAGTTCAAAGCTAGAAACCCGGATTCCTTCATTCGTAGGTTTCTGGAACGAATCAAATTGAATCAACAACTGCGAAAGGCCGTGGCAAACCAAAAAGAACATCCGGATGGTGATGGAGCAACAAAAACGTCCATCGTCCAAGAACCTCAGGTGCCACGCACGAAAGATTCGTCTACAGGATTTCACCCTCGATCCTTTCGTACGTCGAAACATTGAAACATCGAACCGTTCTGTTGACTTACCCCCCTGCAGACTAACGTATATATCGAGCGTGAAAATAGACCGCGCGAACGTAAGACGATTCTCCTCTACGGGCTTTCAGAGTCCATGTTCATCTGACGGGTACTTGGCATGTTCTCATGCACCAAACAAATACCCCCCGCTCCGCATGTTCCTGCTCTGCAAATCGGACGAGATCCAACCGGAGGAATACCAGGATAAACCAGGCAGGATAAACCAGTTGAAGGACGAAATCCCTGACAGACAGAAATCCTGAAGTGGAGACTGCACCTCCCCCACACAGCCGCAGATGGACCTGAAAACAAACATCTTCAAACACCCATCAAAACAGACGGTTTTTTCAATCACAAACGAGAACCGTTTGAAATAATAACTGGACGCCAATCATTAGGACCCATGATTTCTTTCAAACGTGCAACTGCGTGACAATTTGGCAAACAAATCTTGGAGCATCATTTAGCCAACCAGTGACTCGTCTTGCCACTGGACTGGACTCGTTTATTTTTGTGCCTTCCCCGGCGTTGATGAGCGAGCAGGAAGGGAGCGGACGCTTGATGGAGCGTGGAGCGGAGCGGACGAAACGGACGCGGAGCGGAGCGGTCCTCCTTTTCCTCCAAGGCTTCGGCGATGACTTCCAGCTGAACACCTGGCCCAGTCTGGGCGGGAGCGGAGCTCAGAAAGGCAGTCGATCATTGGAGCCGGACATTGTTTAAAGAACTATTAATGTAAGATACTTAGAACATCTTAGGACATATTATGTACTGTTCTAAGGGGATGTGTGCATATATTTACTTTTCTTCAAAACCTAAAGCCTTGGAATCGGGTCGTTGGATTTTTCCCTACGTGCACGTAGGGACCGCAGCATTGGTGCAAACTTGCCAGCTGCGTCTACAGGCCCAAAAGCATCACACCTGATCTCGCACTCAAAAAAGAACGTCTGCCCATCTTCCCCATCGTCCGCCCCCAATCAACTGCCGGAACCTTCATCCTCCGATTTCTGAAAGAGCTTCGTGAAGCCGCCCAGACCTCCAACAACTCAGCTCAGCTCAGCCAGCTGCAAGCCGCGTGGCAATTGCCCCCCAGACAAGAAAAATCGCTAGATTTCCGTCAAGGCGTTGGTCTCATAATATGAGTGAAGGCAGTTTGGTGTCACTTGGAATGCTCAGAGTAGATGTCACACTCCCCAAGTTTTGGTGGTTTATATGGAGCCCTAGATAGAAGACCTCTTGGGGCCCCCCGGCGCTATGCTGCACCTCTGATGGCGGCTAAGAACGACAAACACGATCTGAATCCAAGGGCCAAGCACCTTCCGTACTTGGAACTTATACAGATCCAAGTACCTTCTCAGAAGGTACTTGGACCCTCCTGGCACCTACATAACGGTGTCTCCAATCACCTTCTGAGAAGGTACTTGGATCCCTAGGAAGTTGTATCCTATCAATGGGCCTGAAGTAGATACTTGTGAACCCCTTAGGTGGGTGGAATTCAGTGCTTGTATGAGGTTTTGCTCGAGACCATCCCCAACAGCCTGGCCCAAATGACAAACACAACTCTACATACTAACGCACATCTACCCTCCCTATAACTAATCTGTTTGTAGAGAACATTTGTCTTTCCAAAGGCCATGTTCACTTCCATGTTAGTTCCAGCGAGAGTATCATACCCTAGCCTTACCTTGGAAACTAACCTTCGAAACTAGGATACCGCGCATAAAAAAGTTGTTCCGGATCGCTGCAATCAACCCTTCCCAAGTGAATCATGCGTTCCATGGAAGCATTTTTCCTAGCGGAACCTATAGTGAGCACCATCTAGGAAACTCCTGGCTGAACACATGTCAACCGTCTCTAGTTGGTGGTTTCAACGCACTGGTTACCATAGTCCCTAAGGATCCAAGTACCCTCTGAGAAAGTGTTTGGGGTGGGTTTGGAGGGTCCAAGTACCTTCTGAGAAGGTACTTGGATCCCTAGGGAGTATATAAGTAAAGGTTGAACAAGACAATCTCTGAAACCCAGTTTGAGTTATTGGAACCACTGGGTCCAGTAGTAGATCCTGATCCGCACCAAAATCCGCAAGCGAAGAAGGAAGAAGCACCAAGTCAGCGTTCTTCGTGCGGATGTTTCGCCAACAAATCAGGCGGGATCAGAGACTTGTGCCCCCCCAAATATGATGCAACACAAAACAGGTGTGTTTCCCATGAAATGTGAATTTCGCACATGGTTGCTTTGTGTTGTTTTCTCTCTTTTAGCATTTCATTAAGCTACAAAGGTTGAGTTAATAACAGGTGAAATATACAACTCAAGGAGGCGAGGAGACTCCTCTTAGACTCCAGCCAGGAACTAGCTGAGATCACAAGTACAGCCAGCTGCTGGGAATGATTCTTATCCTGGAATAGATAGAGCATGCGCCACACTACCAACAGGACATTCACATTCTCATGACATCGATTGTTCTTCTCTACGACTATCGGATGGTGATGAAGAATGACAATCAAATAGATGCCTCTGAAAGGTCCAAAAACAACTAAAACTAACTAATCATAACCACAAAACTAACTAATCATAACCACAAAACTAACTACAAAATGCTACATGTTACTATGCTGTATTACTGAGATCCATCAAGGCACCATAAAACCAATGTAGAGACATGTATATCACTGCAATATCCATATCAAAAACATTCAACATCTATTGTTGACCACCAGCCAGTGGGCTGGTCACATGGGTCACTTGGTCACTTCGACCGTTCTGAGGCGTCGTGCAGGAACAAAGCCAACGCTCTGCGACTGCGACGGCTCGGGCTTCGCTCTTGCCAGCGAAGGTCGAGGGGTGGTGGGTGGACACGACTACTACTACTTTCTCGGGGGCGTCCTGGTTCCAAGCTGTTCCCATGTGGAAAGTCACGAGGACAAGGCACCCTGGCACCCTGGCGGTCCAACGGCTGTCCTCCAGAAAACCAGTTAGTTTTGGGTTCACGTGACTGCTTCCAAAAGACCACCGTAAGGGGTGGTACCTTGAATAGCGATTCGGTGGCTTCTCTTTGCCTTTCTGTAGCGAGCAGTGGTAAGCATCAAATAGATTCAGACATGTTCAAACATAAAAGAGTCTGGGACACCACAAACACCTTGGAACAGCTGTGCCTGGCCATTCAAAGCCTATTTGGAGGCAAAATGTCAGCTGCCTTATGCTAGAAGTGATCCACCTTGAAATGACTGGTGCCGGAAATGCTCGAGGATGGCAGCTTCTGTTCTTGGATGGTGCTTTGACAGCCTTTCCGGGGTTGGATGTAGTTCATGGAACCACAGCTATGCAGCTGAAAGAGCTCGATCGTTCCCTTGTGTTTCCTACCGACCCAAGTGGCTGGTGACAATTCCTGACCAAACCAGATGTTTAGCACACGCCTGTTCGACGGCGCGTAAAGAAGTGGGA